TATAAAAAGTTGAAATTCAACTGTTTCCTCCACATCCACTTAAACAAGTTTGTCTTTTCATCTATAAAAAAACTAATATTCTATGTAAAATTTGCACATATAGTTTATGTAAACTGCTACAGCTAACAGACGGCTGGCACTTACCTGTTTGTTTACCTCTAACTGATCTCCGCTGACTGGAGGGAGTGGACCACCAGGAAGTGAGTCATAACCTTGAACCTCCCACTTGTGATAGGTCCACTCCAGGGATCAGTCAGTCTCAGTCTAGTGTTGTTGTCTATGAGTGTTGGTCCCATGTCCCACGGTGTGTATCAGTTATGGTGCTTGTTTGATAATTGTTAGTGTATTTATTTTTGTATCTTAATATTTCCGTTGCCTTTTGAGTGTTGTTCAATGGTTACAAAAGCAGTTGTGAGATCGATTGAGTATTTTTCACATATCCGTAGAAAATGGTCTTTTGAGCCGGATAAATTGGATGGAATGGATTTTATTATTTAAAGTTTTTTTTTTCATTGGATTCACTCCAGTGCCAGTGTATGTCTAGTTTAGGCGTGTGTGTACGTTATGAGTCCTACGTTTTATGGTTTGAAGGGGTATTGTTAACTGTTAATATTTATAACCATGATTTTTTTTGTTTGGATATTTGTCATATAGTTTGATTGGCATATATTTGTATGAATTGGATATCTTTCGATTTTTGTACATATTCATACTAAAATCGTTATGGGATTGATTATTTTTTCATGTTTTTGGGTGTTTAGAAATTGGCCCTTGCATAACTGGAATAGGTTTAAGCGAATTTCCCTATAGGGAAGTAGCTATTACCGTAGGTGGCACGGTTAGTCCTGGAGCCGGGATCGATATACTTTTTCATTTTGATGTCCCTACGGGCCAAAAACACTTTTCGTTCAAATTGCCTAACTAATAATATATCGTTAGTTTTCTTAAAAAAAAGTTTAGTGAAAAGGATTTTTATCAAAAATTGTTTGTGGTAATGAAAAAAATAATGAAGTTACTTTTGTTTTTTAGTTTTTACAGTACTTTTGCTCCCTACGAATCTTTTTTGTAAAAATTTATTTTAAACCTCAGTTGTTATTTAATTTTTGCTCAGCCCTGGATATCACTTTTATTTTGGAAATGTAAATCAATTTTGCCTTATTAAAGATACTTCAAAGCCTTTCAGACATTTTGTATTGAGTCATGCAAGTTTTAGTCAGCAAAACCTTGAAAACATCTGCAGTAATGTTTGCCCACATTCGATGCTTGTTTGTCTTCTCTTCTCCATCTCTTTGTATGATTTTCAAAGTATTCAAACTAGTTTTGAAAACATTTACATTCCAAGAATTAGATGTGCAAAGACTTCAATACATTGAATCATTTTTATTTGATACACAAATAAACTCATCTATATTTTTAATACGCTAGGCATCTTTTGTCATAATTGTTTTGGAGCGGTGGTGCTACCAATCACCGTGTCCAAGGTGTCGTTAGAAAGGTCTTAGCATGTAGTTTTGCCGTCAAATAAAAAAACTCTGGAATTCCATCAGGGCTCTGCCCCAGTGGCCTTCAAAGTTCCCATGTTATTCTTAGGGAGAAAATGTTTGTTTACATTTGAACGGATGAATACTTTGAAATTGACACTAGAAGGCCTAATTTATTTGTTTTATGAATATTTTATGAGCTACACCTTATACCGTACAAAGCTGTGTAACATTCAAAAGCAATTCTCTTAGATTTATATTGAAAATTGTAAGCAAAGCAATGCTGTCTTTCATTAAACTGTAGAGGTTTGTAATTTTAAAAAAATTAAACCTCACATAGGTCTATACGAGTGTCAACCTTTATAAACCATGTGTTTGAACCACCACTTGTGACCTTATCAGGATTTGTCATAGTTAGTTATCAACTCCATTAATGTGTATCTTCATCCATTACGAAGCTGATAAGAATGCAATATTAGGTTTGGTAATAGTAAGAACAAAAGAAAGAGAGGAAAGAATAAACACTTTCATGCTCCCTTTAAAGGATGTATACCATTTAATTTGTGAGAGGCTACCGGAACCTAAAAAAAATACTTATCCATAATATTGATTTTTTTGAATATTTCTATTGGGAATGGATTTTTTTACGCCCAAAACTTTTCAGGCCTATGCCCACATACACAGTTATATGTACCAATAATTATTTACCAACCATGATTTTGTATGTTGCAATAGAGCCCCTATTGTAACCCATTTGCCCTTGACCTTGGGGACTGTATGTTAGGTACTCATTGTGTCTTACTACAATAACTAAAGTGGAAAGTAATCACTTGTATCTAGCCTGAGAATGTCAGAACCGAACACAATAACTTTGGCCAAACGGTCTTCCCTATGTTGTTCTGTGAACTTGATTACTAGATAGTTATCGTGGTGTTACTGGTTTTACATGAAGCTTGAATGTTCCAGTTTTTAGAGTAGAACTTCTATTTCAGTAGTCGGGTTCAAATCACTGATGGTTTTGGTTAGTGTGTGACATGGTTGTATTGACTTATCTTAATCTGAAGGTTTGGAAAAAAGGAAACGTCTCTTTATATAACAAAATTTTCTTTATTGGAGAAATCCATCTACTAAAAACTATTTAGTTATATTGTTTTAAAAGATCAGCTTATTGTTCTGTTTTGTGATAGTGATGTTTTTGTCTTAATGTTAAAAGATTGTTAGGACAGATCAAAGTTGAATCATAGAGCTTAGGATTTTGAGTGTGAGCTATTATTTTTCCCCAATAAAGTTTGGTAAAGAGTTTATACCAATATGATGTAATAAATAATGTGTTTTGTTTATCTTTTTTAACTTGTTGTTTGCTTTAATTTTGTATTTTTATCTTAAAAAGCAAGCGTTATCTGTTTATTTTGATAAACTAATAAAGAACTCATGTATTGACCTACTTTTGTAGTATTTCATACACCAAGTACCGATTGTTTTACCCTTATGTTTTGGTAACATACTGTAATGAGGTTGATGTCACTGTTTGTTGTCTTGCTCAATACAGAATGATGTCGGACTCATAACTACTTCGAGTTATGCAAATTAATTATATCGTAATGTTCTCTGTTTCAATAGAAATACAGTACTAGTAGATTTAAATTTGTACAATGGAAAGTAATTGTTTGTTTTTCCCTCCAAACAGCAAGTCTAACCATTATTAGTGATGTAGATTTTACAGAAGCAGTTGAGACGTCTGCTACATATATTGTCTGTACCCATATAATACTCTTAAAATATATTAGTAATAAATTTAACTATATTACTTCATCTATGGCGGTAGTGCTACCGATCACCATGTCCAAGGTGTCATTAAAAAGGTCTTAGTATGTAGTTTTGCAATTAAACAAAAAAACTTTGGAATTCCATCAAGGCTCTGCCCCAGTGGCCTTCAAAGTTCCCATGTTATTCTTAGGGAGAAAATGTTTGTTTACATTTGAACGGATGAATACTTTGAAATTGACACTAATATTTGAAACAGATGGTCATACCAAAATTGGATACATGTGCTATAAGGATTTATTAGATTAGTTGAAAAGATTGACGTTTCATTTTTTTAAACCAGTTTTTATTTGCACAAAATCAAAACATAACCAAAAAATTGTTCGACATAATGGAGACTATAAGTCATCAGAAATTATGACTGTTATTTGTTTTAAAATAACGCCTTTAATACTTAGCAATTGCTCAAATTCGAGCAACATGTACACTAGTTATGTTGGTTTACTGAGAGATATGGTTCAAAATAAGATGACTTGAGTAATTTGTAAAATAATAATAATCTTTTGTGTGTTATATGATTCACAGTAGGCTTTCTGAACTCACTCTCTATTAACTGCCCTTAGGGTCTCTGAGAGTGCAAAAATATTGCTTGGTTTATCCACATCGAGTTTTAAAACTGGTTATAACAGAGTTTTTCTATAAATCTAGACTTGCATTCCCATCCTTATTGCAGTAATGTATACTGTAGTGTAATCATGTCCATGGAGGTACAGTTGTGTCTGTAAAACGGTAAAGCAGAAAAATCATTGACTTTAGTACTCTACATGTTTATATTGTCACCTTTTTAACTGACCTTTTACTTTCTCCCCCTATACCGTATATGGAGAAAGTATTATTTTCGTCAAAATTTTTGAGTTTGAGTTTTGAGTGGATATATTCATTTTGGCCCCCCCTGGACCCAAAAAAGTGGTTTTCGAAGTGATGTCTGTGTGTGTGTGTCTGGATGTGTACAGAGCTAGGGACTACACCTGTGGTCCGATTTCGATGAAATTTGGTATGTAGGTTCTAATCCATGGTATCTCCAGGCGTATTTTCATTTTTTTGAAATTTTGATTTTTAATGGAGATTTTCCCATAAAAACCCATAAAAAACGGAAAAATCGGATATTCTCAAAAATGGCCCGAACGATTTTGATATAAATTTAGTATGTTGTAGCCCTTTAAATTCTGAACAAAATGGTACAAATCCCATTTCTGTAAAAATTACGGTTCAAAAGTTATTATAAATTATGTTATTTTACCATAAAAAACCCATAAAATAACGAAAAATAGGATTATCGAAAAAAAATCCGGTCTTGGTTTAACATAGTATGTTATGGTCCTTACAATTTTGATATTTGTTTTTCATTTTTTAGAAATTTTGATTTTTTTATAGGGATTTTCCCATAAAACCCCATAATATAACGGAAAAATCGGATTTTCCAAAAAATGACCCTAAAGATTTTGATACAAATTTAGTGTGTTATAGTTCTTGAACAAAATAGTACAAATCCCATTTCCGTATATTTACTCTCACCGCTTACACATGATAAAGGTTGTTGACAAATGTTGACAAACTCATGGGAGAAAGTAGGTGTCAGAATGCTGATACCGTTTATTTGCTATTTGACTATTCCATGATGGTTGGGTAAGAGAGAGTGTACTGCCTAGTCATTAATGTTAATGATTGTAGTTATAATGTCATGGTTTTTCACAGAAGAGGAGTCGTCAGTAATAGACTTGACGAGCCAGCTGGAGACAGACTCAGTGTTCAGTCAGATGCAGGGTGACCTGGACCAACAGAGACTGCTGGGAGAGCGGCCCATTCCCTCCGTCGACCCCTTCCTGGTCAGGGAGATACACAACAAGGAGAGGTGAGTCCTATACGTTGCAATCAATCATCCTGTGTCTGCTGAGTCTTGATATTAGACAAAAAACTTTCAAACTGAAATAATTTTACTAATATTAGTAAGTTACCTTGTCTTAACACTTCCTTAGCCACTAGATTTTACTATCAGGTGACACGCCAAAACATTTTCTTATCCTCCAAGTGGGTGTTGTTATTTATATTAAAAACTAGGAAAAGGATGGACGAGATTGGATTTTTAGTTCGAGACGAGACGAGACGAGATTTTTTATTTCTCATAAAATTTCGAGACGAGATCGAGACGGGATTTCCCTTCTCATACACAACGGGAAATGCACGTTCAACATTTTTACCTGATTTTGTAACATTGTTAGATGACTGTTTAAATACAAAAATAATGATAATAGGCAAGAATATTTACAATCTTTTATTAAAAAACATCAGCATAACATTTTTTTATTAATCACGCCTAACTTATTAAAAATGCCTACGATTAGGAAACATAGTTATATCAGATAGGATAGAGTTCAACTTATCCTAAAATAAAATAAATCATAAAATAAAAGCAATGTTAATTTTTTTTAAATAATTACTTGTTTTGACTTTTTATAGTAATAAAACATTCCTCACACTGCTTACACTTAACAAAACTTCTCAAATGTTATTAAAGTAATATTTACATTTAAAGAATTAATTAAATAAGAACGCCTTCGCAAAGGAAACGCAACTACAACACGCTCCTGTATTGCGGGTATTGCATTGACTATCTGCAGGCGTTTTTTATTTTTTATTTTTTTTTATTCTTGTCTCGATAAAAATCTCAGCCAAAAAGAAATCTTGTCTCGTGTAACGAGATTTAAAATTTCCTGAAAATTTCCCGAAATTTCGAGACTTGACCATCCCTATAAAAACATATCACTAAACATTAGAAGTACAAACAACTCTACTTAAAACCTGATTAAAATGGGGTAGGCTTACCACACATGACAAGATGAAGTGAAGAGCAAGTATTTAGTCATTTATAATTCTGAACTCGTGGGGAGAAACAGCCATGACAGGTATTGCACAGATACACAGACAACGATAGACAGTGGTACCGGCATACGGGACAGCTGATACTAAACTAATGACGTGTCTAGGATGACTAGTGAACTTATTGGAAAGTACTAAGACTTAGGAGGGGTGTTGAATGAATCATGTGATATCCTTGTTACCAAGATCAGCTAATTGTTTAGTTAGAATCAATTACAAATAGTCCAATGCCCCAATACTCAACAACAATGTACAACTGGGTCCAGAACCATCAAAATGCTACTTACTTTGGTCGGGATTGAACTGGCGATTACTTGTTGAATATTATTACCAATCAGGCTTAGCAAAGTAATTGTTCATGCCTAACATCACCATTCCACGGATGAAATTTAACCCGAATTCCTGTTCAAAGTAGCATTAATGGTAAAGTCTAGAAACATGCTCAATGCCAGCCATTTTTTCCATATGGTCAAGCCAGGTGAGGATTTATATGTAGCCTGAAGAATTGTTGCTTGCTGAATGATTTTGGAGAAACTGATATATCCAATCTTCTGTTTGATGGTGGGTAACATTCTAGAAAGCCATGTCTGTTTTTATTAGCGAATTTCCCTATAGGGAAGTAGCTATTACCGTAGGTCTCATAGTAAGACCTAAGCCCGGGACCGATTTACTTTTTCATTTTGATGTCCCCAGAGGCCAAAAACACCATTTGTTCAAATTTTTATATATATATAGGCCCTATATGTGTCCATCCGCACGATAACTTGAGTAATTTTTTTCCGATTTTGATAAAATTTGGTTTGAAGGTGTAAGGCGGGATAAACTTGAATGAGTTGCGAACCAGCATGATCGGACTATGGGAACGGGGGTTTATGGGGGGTTTTATAGGGTAAAAATAGGTTTTTCCCATTTTTGACCCTAAAAAAACAAAATTTCACAATTTCCTTTCAAACATTTTGTAGAGCTTAAAAAACAAATAATTTAGTATATTGAAGCGTTACTATGCGCCTAATTGTTACGGAGAAAATTCAAAAAACTTGTAATTTTAAAATTCCCATGTTATTCTTATGGAGAATAAGTCAACTGTTGTAGTTTGCTTGTTTATGAACATATTTTGATAGATTTTGGATTATACTTTTATTTCTTACTAAACTATTTTCATTTTATTAAAAAAATCTTTTTTACCCTCCCTATTGCAGCAAACCTAAGTACTCGTTAAACTAATCTATAATATTAAAACGAAACAGTGTTTTTTTATTTCACGATTCTGAATCAACCACTCGACGGATTTTCATGATTTTTGTGTTGAAAGAAAGATAATTTTAAGAACTAGGGAATGTCGAAGCCATAATTTTAGTTTAGGGTCCCAGTTTTTTATAAATTAAGTTTTAATTTTTAAAAAGTCTAGCAGCCGACGCTAAGATTCTAAACTAGCTTTTGGCATAAAATAATTTGCTTAACATAACAGCTGTAAACATTCAGCTTTTGTGTCACAAATTCAGCATTTGGATAAATATGTAAAGACATACTTAGGGTTGACTTATTTATACTATGTGTAATGCTAATCATTATTACATTCCATTCTTCTGTAAGAGGATGACAGATTAATTAAATATACATAGTAAAATACTACGATGTTCAAATTATTTTTTAAAGCAATCTTTGTAATCTTCGATTTGTTTTAGAGAAATATAATTTGTTTTAACTAACAGCTGGTTAAATATAAACTACTAGCTGGCCCGACAGACGTCGTCCTGTCCTATGCTTTTATGTCAAATGCTTGTTCATTTTCAAGATCCTGGTTGAAGTTCGTTCGCTGTGCTCACTTGCCTTCAGGTTGAAGTTCGTTCGCTACGCTCACTCACCTTTTGGTTGCAAATTAGCTGTTGTCATAAATTTAAAAAATATAATTGTGCTGCACCCTGTTGGTAAACTTATTAACTTTTAATGCTATTGAACATCACAGAATCAAATTGCTTAGTTAAACCAGCTGTTAATTTTCTTTAATTCCATTAAAATATGAGTACTCATAAGGTTAACATGGGAAACTCCAGAGCCACTGGGGCGGACTAGTGTTGGGATATCGAAAGAAAATATCGATATTTATATCGACGATAATATCGGAGCCTCAATATCGATATTCCGATAATATCAGACCAAAAATATCGATATATCGGAAAAATATCGTTAAAAATTAATGGAATTGGAATGCTATCGCAATGCATCCCTTTAACAGGAAATTACCTTAACAAACAATAAAAAAAAAAAAAAAATTGAAATGAAACTATTCTAAACTACCTATTCTAACCAACCAATAAAGCTTGCTGTATTATTTCAAAATTTTGTTTGCTAGCCTAAATTATTCCCCATATGCATTTTCTGTAATCAAACGGAATTTTGAAATGGTAACTTAGCCTACAGTAAGTTTGGTTGGTTTTGGTTTTGTTAGGTTGAATAGTTTATTTTCCTAATCCAGATATAGGCTATTATTTTTGCCTAAACAAGGTTAGTTCTTAATTTGTTTTTAAATGCGTTTGAAGATATTAAAACAAAGGAATATATACAGACGGTTTGGTAAAAAAAAATATCGATATGTCATCAAAAGAAATCATTGATATAAAAATGTCCCTTTAGCAGGAAAGTACCTTTGTTAATACTGAACAATATTTATTTAGCCTATCCTTATCGAAGTTGTCAGCTGATATGTTTTAATTTGTTATAATCAATATATCGGATAGAAAAATAAAATATCGATATTCAAAAAGAAATAATCGATAATAATGAATGTTCCCTTTAACAGGAAAGTACCACCATGAACAGTTAGCTGCACACATATGACGTTAAATTGTTTACAATTTATATTTTTTTAGGCTTGTGTACAAAAAAAATACAACAAATGAGAATTTAATGGTTTTGATTGGTTTTCACTGCCGTCACGTCATTTTGGCACTCCACTTCTGCCAACCGTGCCAACTCACTATTCAAATGCAGGCAGAGGCAACCAGATTAAAAATATATTTTTAACTAGATAGGTACATGAAATAGTTTGTGTGTACAAATAAATTTGTTATTAATAATATTTAATAACTGCTAAACAAGTTCAGAAAAGATTAAACTGTATTCATTCTTGCATTATTCTTTGAAAAATTGCTAAAATCAATTCTAACGATAATATCAAAGTAAAATATCGATATCCCGATAATATCGGAAGTCTAATATCGATATAAAAATATCGATATATCGGAACCAAAATATCGATATTTCCGATATATCGGATATCGATACCAAACACTAGGCGGAGCCCTTTTGACGGATCTGCACCAAACTTTACACAAACCATCATTGAATAATGCTTAATAATGCCTGAAAGTTTCATTACAATCTGTCGAGCGGTTTCGGAGTCCATAAAGGACAAACATACAAACAAACATACATTGGATTGTATATATATAGATGGAACTATGAGGTTATTTTATTTACTCTTATTTTGTCATTGTAATAAGTAAGATTAGTAGAACACAGTTTAAAATACTATAGACCAAAATTAATTAAACCACAGTACAAATCGAGGCTCTGTACACGAGTCTTAATAAAAAAGGAGAAATGCAAATTATTTTACTGCTCCACTTATCAAGGAAAGAATAGAAAAATAACAATGTTTACATGTTTTAAATTCTTCATTGTAGCTTTTTGTTTACAATTCATGTTTGTCTGCTTTAACTTTGTTTGGATTAGGCCCGGAAATATTGATGTCATAAAAAAAGATCAAGAATAATCAGGAATCACGAGTGTAGGAGTTTTGCCAACGGGTATCAGGTAGAAAGGGTCCCCATCCATGAATTCCACATACTGCGGAGTTTTGCCAACGGTTGTGGGCTGCGCGAGAGGGGGAGGGGGAGAGAGAGAGATTACACGTGACCGTGAGGATGGCCAAACCAGGCAGGATGCTGACTGTGTTTAAAGTAATGGAGTTAT